CACATCCGAGTTCAGAATCAGCAAATGGCAGGGAAAGTTCTCGTAATTCGAGTTGTGATTTTGGTCTTAAATGGTTTCGCTTCGATCCACTTGCCTTTTCGTTTCGGTCTTTCGCTTCTGAAAGGAGAGGATGAACTTAGTTGATCCTCTCCTGTGAGAAGATCGTTTAAGTTCATTATCACAGTTTTAAAAATAGGGTCATTCCACGCCAAATCGATCTGCGAGAAAGCTCGACCATCTCGGATTTTGACGAAAATCGCCATACTCGTAGAAGTATCAATTTAAAGAATATAATTTCAACCCGTTTTATTTCTTTCCCACAGATCTCCAGATATATGCATTTTAATTTTGACCTAATTTTCGCTTCCAGCGCCCATACGGACTGGAATTGTGAAACTGTTTCTACAATAACTTCCCCTCTAGTTAAAATATAAACTTCATTTTTTGTGTCATTTTAATCGTGAGATTTCATTCTTTAAATTAGTTCCAAGTATTATCCTCCTAAGCTGAAACAAGAAGTTCCACTATATCAAACTGTTTGATCAAGTTCATTGGCCAATATCGACACTTGCTACCTCGGGAATTCTTTGTTCCAATATTTCATGTAAAAGTACACGGTATGCCGTTTCTGACGATACCAAGATCGAGATTGACACTCAAGGGGTTCATGAGGTATGAGAGTTTGATTGCATCGACAGTGCATTTATAATTAGACTAGGAGAATCACAGAAATATAACCCAATGTTAAGAAGCTGTCAGAGTGAAATTTTTCCTGGTTTCTAGTTTTTAGCATTTCATTGTTTTCCTAGCATACTAAAGTACAAAATAAGTCATTAATCAATTAACTCATTAATTAACTTGAATTAATTATGTAACTTCATAAAAAATAGAATGCAAGTAATTTTCATTGAAAATCTGTGCAACCAGCAAAAATGTTACAAATAGAGCTTCATAACATTGGGCCATATTTCCGTGAATCCCAGGTGCAGCAATAAATGCACTGTCAATGCAATCAAACTCTTATACCTCATGAACCCCGTGAGTGCCAACCTTGAATTTGATATCATTAGAAAGGCAATAGCACGCCCTTTCTTATTGATGTATTATAAGTCGGGATTCACGGACGGAAAGTGCATTAGGAGGTCATTGAAGTCGGTCAAAGTGTTCGAACAAGTGGAATTTTGGCACTATTGCCGCAGGTAAAAATTCACATCTCGTCAAGCCATTGAGTGCCAATCTCGATCTTGGTATCGTCAGAAATGGCATACTATGCACTTTTAAATGAAATATTGGAACAAAGAGTTCCCGAGATGGCAAGTGTCGATATTGGCCAATGAACTTAATCAAACAGTTTGATTCAGAACTTCTTGTTTCAGCTTAGGAGGATAATACTTGGAACCAAATTAAAATGCATATATCTGGAGATCCGTGGGAAATAAAAAAAGATGAGTTGAAATTATATTCTTTAAATCGATTCTTCTACGTGAATGGCGATTTCCGTCAAAATCCGAGATGGTCGAGCTTTGTCGCTGGTCGATTTGGCGTGGAATGACCCAATATCAATTCAAAATGCATTTGCTGGCAGTCTTTTTTTATTTATGTTTTTCCTGTAACCTTCCCACTCATTTTTAGATTGAACGGATGCGAGGCATGACTGAATTAACCGATTTTGAGAACTCTGGGTAAAGCATGTTCTTCGTTCTAGTTCTAATTCTGCACCGAGGTGAAGAACGACAACCCTTGGTTGCTTTTTGCAGTGCCTGCGGGTCAAGATTAGATCAAGTTTCGATTTAAGTTTAGATTTATATTAAGTCTAGCAGAGGCGAGAAAGACGCCGAAAATCTTTAAAATGTTGCAATATGAAATTTACTCCGAATTCCATTTGTTGGCTCAAATTAATTTAAATTTTTTGGCAAGTGGTATTGCTTTCCATGTAGACATGATGCGCGAAAAATTCATTTAATCCAACAGCATTAGATGTTTTATGCTTAACAACCCTATATATAAACAAGTGTTGTTGCATTGTTGCTGTTGGAATATACACACGTCAGCTCTTGTATTATTTATTGTTGGTCCCGTGTTTTTCACAGAAACTTTAAATGCTGAACGTTATCAACTCATCACTCAGCAATATATCGCCATGTTAGAAATTGACGAACAAGACTCGTGGTTTCAACAAGATGGAGCAACCACTCATTAGCAAGAATCTCTGACCGCTTTGGTCTCCAGACCTGACTACTTTCTGTAGGGATACCTCTTAGATAACACTTAAGATAACACTTTTTTTTGTTCAAAAGTGAGATGTGGTCCCTTAATATTAAGTCAGTTTTAATTAGGTGCTCAATATAAGTTACTCAAAGAAAATATTGCATGTAATGGGTTGCGTGGCTTTTGAAAGACTCTGCATGATGTATGATAAAAGTACAAAAGCAACGAAAGGGGAAAAAAAATCAAATTCTCTCCCCTCCTAACGATTCTCTGAAACGAAACGACCTTGGTAGACGGCATTTATAGATCATGAAGCCTGACAGAACTGTGTGAACTCCCCCCCCCCCCTTCCAAAACGGTCCAGGAGGTGCGTTACATTTCGAGACAACAGATGGAAAGAGATATGCATAAGCACCCCAGCGCCTCGAGATAGTTGAGGTCCCCGCATGACAATGTATTCATCTGAAACTTTCCACCCCTGACGTCAGTCTCAACCTTCGAAAAAATCATGCATAGGTGCATACGATCTCTACGATCGCCGATCACCGACGTAGATTACGTCTTACGACACGATATCCATGCACCTCGATCTCAGATCGCTACTTCTCTTACCCCAACACTACCACCATCCCTACAGTCGCTCCGAACAGTGGAGGAGTGGACACTCTGCCAGGGACTTTCGGTTGTGCCGGCCCATCCAGCGGCTTCTGCTACGCCTGCTATTCCTCTCTCTTCCACCGCTATTCCCTTCTATTTCCACGACAGAGACTCACCCGAGAGGCAGTCAGATAGCAATAGGATCCCGACCCAAACCAAATGACTAGTGCTTACCCATTTCCACGCAAGCTGGATTCCTCTTTCCTTTCCATCCCATTCATCAACTGTTGATCAATTGTTGATCAATTCCCGTTGTTACCAGTGCGTGTGATTCCCCTCGTGTGATGCTATCGTCGTGAACGAGTACGAAAAACGAACCGTTGTGATAAACCCATCGAAGCCATCGAAGAGTGCTGGAAAAATCATTTTAGTCCTTTTGCCAGAGCTATCGATTGCCAACCTGACCGTGTGGTTATTGAAGTCGGGGGAAGTGCAACTCCCTCAGCACGATCCTCTACTGGATACAATCCTACATCGAGAGAATGGAGACCCTAAAGCGAATCGATATGCCTGACGTAAGCAAGGCGATTTCGCTTTCTTTCTTTCCACCGTCGTCTAAAACTGCCGCCTTGAGTTTTTTTCCTGTTCGAATGCCTATCCCTGACCTTATATGACCCTATTCATTCCAGATTCGTTTTATGCTGCTTTGTGGATGCAACATAAAAAATAGATGTTAAATTTAGTACCGAATTTCACTGAAAATCTTTCTTCCTTCAAATCTTATTTCATTCTACAGTTACGTTACAGACAGAACGACCGGTCTATGTTATCCGTCAGGTGGTTGACCGGTTTAACTGCCTGCAGTATTACAGTGAAATTTTATTCGTATTCAAGGAAGCCACGGAGTCTAGGTGGGAAATTCCTGGTTGTACTTTTAAACTTAGTTCGAAACTGTCGGGGGCAGTCCGTGTCCTGAGTGGTGTGAGTATTTAGTTTTATGTACTTTTCTGCATGGTTGAATTCTTACAAGCACGCTCTCCCATAATACACGTCTTTCTCGATTGAGTCCGACCTACCAGTTCCAGCACGGGAGTTTCACTTATCTGAGAAGATGTAGGGGGTGCAACATAAGGAGCAGTGGAGAGCCTTATTTGTCGGAAAAATCGCAGTCATAAGCAATGCATGATATCCATGCAACGTTGCTGCAGCGTGATTTCAGCCAAATGGCTTGGCAGTAACGTCACGTAAATGTCACTGGATGTATGTGCTGCTTGGGTACGACTCGTCAAAGTCATCATAAAAGGGCTCGAAGGTTCTCAAGCATCTTGGAAATCAACGTTTATCCGTTAATTTCGTTGATGTCGAAGGCAGGTGAATTGGAGCCAATCGTAACCAAGACCAAAAATTTGACTCTATAAGGAGGCGAAATTCTGCTTCTGACCATTTTCAGATGACAAACGATGCAATGTTCGGTCGCGACATCTCTCGCAAAATCACGCAAGCAATATATTTTGCTGTCGGATATCGTAACCCGAAAATGTTGATTTGTGTTCCAGCTTCAGCAAATCAAAGTTTGCAACGAAAATATCAAACGTGGAATTCGTGGAACATAAAAGGTTCTTCCAGTCGAAACTCTCGAGGGTGCTCGCGAGACATCTGTTTTTTCTTTTTGCACATTAATGTTTCGATGACGACTCACGTCTCGAAGTTTCCCTTTGGACACCATTTTGGAAGTCCCCATGCTCTTCAGATGACCCCAGAAAAAGAACGTCGGGCCAGGTCGGATACCCTGTCTGGCCATACATCTTCCGTCCATTTCAAGATATCGAGCTCCTCCGGCTAGAAACTGTAGAAACTGGTGACAGTCGGATAAAAGCCATCTTATACAGCTTCTATAAATAAAGCGCGCCCTATCATGCTGCATAAGTATGGACGTTTCCGAATACAATCGTACATGCGCAGCATGTTTAAAAGAACAACGGCTGAGATCATTTTTCAAACGTCGATCTTTTCCTCCATTTTGGCCAAGTAGTCATCCCGTCCCCCCTTCCCCCCCCCCCCCCGCTNCCCCCCCCCCCCCCCCCCCCCCCCCCCCCCCCCGCTCACCCAAGACCCATCCTAGCAATGTGAAGCCTTCCTTCTCCTTTCCTCGTGTCTCGCTGCACGCTCTCAGCCTTCCTCCGTCCTAATTCCGCATGCAACGAGTGAAAGGCTTCCCCCTTCCCATTTTCCAGGTCAGACGACGAATAAGCTCTCTGAAGCTGCCGATGCAGCCCAAGCGCAGGCCCACCTTGGCCGAGCTGAAGAAGGAGATCGACATTGACGACCATCAGATTCCCCTGGATGATTTGGCGACAAGGCTTGACGTCGACATCGAAACAGTGAGTTTCGCTTCTTTATTTCTTTATTTTTCATCATACTTAATATTATTATCATTTTGCTTGGAGGAGCAGGTGAGCGCCACAAGAGCAACAATCTTACTTCAGACGGAAATATTTAAAATTAAAATTAATATGCAAGTGCGTGGTCACCAAGAATAACGGCATTAAGTAAAAACAGTATTTTTAACATTCTTGGACATGCGATTCCAATTCTTCAAGGAATTTCACGAAAGGGATCTGAACGCTTTCTTCAATATCTGGATAATAATAATTTTAAAAAAGAAAACCGACCAGGAAGTTCCATTCAAGAAAAGAAAATAAAAACTAAATATTATCGCACATAGCAATTGATGAACTTACCCGGTAAGCATACACCTTTTTTCATCCTTCAACTGCTGTGTTTTTTTCTGGCGGTTTGCAGTTTTTTTCTGCAGGCAGTACGAGGTGCCACGAAGATCATTACGTAGAATTAATTTCAAGTCTTTTATCGATCACGTATACGCGACGGCAGTAGTAACAATTGTAAATCAAAATGCGTATGGGCGTCGATGGCAGTTAGGGCATTTGTTTTGCGTTGACGCGTTTAAAGCAGTTAAAGGGTTATAGGTCGGCATTAGTTAATCCCCCCGGATAATATGAATTGTTCTTCTCTTTTAATTTTACTTTTTTGGTTTGGGGGGATTGAATTCGAATGCCTTCTCTGGATTCGCCATCGTAAGGAAAATCCATCTTTTGTTTGATATCGCGACTGCACCCGCCTCGACAACTGACATACATCCGTATCGACAACTAAGTGGAGAAATCCAGAGATCACGAAGAGGCTGTAAATTGCATGGCAGGGCTTGAGCGAAGAAGAAGCAAAGCATCGACTGACGAGGGACGGACCGAATTCCCTCACGCCTGCGACGACCGTCCCCGAGTGGGTGAAGCTCTTCAAGCAGCTGTCGGGGGGGTTCGCCCTGCTGCTGTGGATCGGGTCGTTCATCTGCTTCGTCACGTATGGGATCCAGGCGGGGTCTTATGACGACCCGCCGGATGATAACGTATGGTGCTCGGTGTCGGTTTGTAACCCGGCGTTTTTCGTGTCGTCCCTGTTCGATGCGTCTTTGAATCTTTAGTTGTTCCTCGGGATCGCGCTGGCCAGTGTCGTCATCATCACAGGTGGCTTCTCGTACTATCAGGAAGCGACGAGTCAGCGAATCATGGAATCCTTCAAGAAAATGGTCCCGCAGGTGAGCCTTTCCGTAAATTTTCTTGCATTCCCAGTCGGCACTGTAACGTTGTCAACGTTGAGAAAAGGTTGAAACGTTAAGATTTGGTTAAAGTTGATAATATGACGAAGACTCGACATCAATGAAATGCTGGCTTTTCGAAATAAGCAGTATTTGCAACATATTGTAACTACTCGTGTATTATTGAAGTCGTTTAGTGGCTATAAAACGAAAAATTATTTTTTCATCATATATGATTAGCGCTTAATAGCCAATAAACGACTTCGCTAATCCACGAGTAGTTACATATGTTGCAGATACTGTTTATTACGAATAGCCAGCCTTTCATTGATATCGATCCTTCGTCATATTATCAACTTTAACCAAATCTTAACGTTTCAACCTTTTCTCAACATCGACACAACGTGGCTGTGCAGACTGGGTTCTTGCACGAAGAATTTCGCAAAGCGAACCCACGTTGCAGAACGCCGTCGTCCACCGAGGGAACCAACTTCTCACAGTCCGATCGGAGGAACTCGTCCTGGGCGACATCATCGAGGTGAAATTCGGCGACCGCATCCCGGCCGACATCCGGATCATCGAGGCTTGGGGACTGAAGGTGGACAACTCCTCGCTGACGGGCGAGTCCGAGCCCCAGACCCGATCCGCCGCTTGCACCCATTACAACCCGCTCGAAACTCACAATCTGGCGTTCTTATCCACCTACGCCGTGGAAGGTGCTCGAATTCGCGTTTTTCACCGACTTTCGATTCGACTCGTTCCGAACTCGCGCGGTGCGACTTTTTCTTCGTAGGCACTGCTAAAGGGATCGTGATCATGACCGGAGACAAAACGGTGATGGGTCGAATCGCAAATTTGGCGTCGGATTTGCACGCCGGCAAGACCCCGATCGCGAAGGAACTCATTCGTTTCGTTCACATCGTCACTGTCGTGGCCGTGGTCCTGGGGGTCGGCTTTTCCATCGCTGCCTTTGCCATGGGCTACGACTGGCTGCAGGCTGCCGTCTTTTTGACCGGAATCATCGTCGCGATGGTTCCCGAGGGTCTTCTTCCCACCGTGACGGTATGTCATTGAAGCCCTTCAATCCGCTTTCTGGATTCCTCGTATTTTTGTGTCTCTTTAAAAAAACAATTACATCCGTTTCTTCTTTAGGTGAGTTTAACGTTGACAGCAAAGCGAATGGCAGCCAAGAACTGCTTGGTAAAGCACCTAGAAGCCGTAGAAACATTAGGGTCCACATCAACCATCTGTTGCGACAAGACCGGAACTCTGACTCAGAATCGAATGAGCGTTTCTCACATGTGGTTCGACAACCATATCGTAAAAATCGACACGACGGAGCACCAAGCTGGTGAGAAATCTTGTTCGCTCGTTTGGATTTCACCCCGTCATTTCACCCCGTCATGATTGCTCTCGATTTCAGAACCGAAATACGACAGGAACAGTCCAGGATGGCACGCCCTCTTTCGAGTGGCCGCGCTCTGCAGCCGTGCCGTCTTCAGAGGCGGCCAGGACGACGTCCCCCTCCTGAAAAGGTTCGCACAGACATTCCGCGCTCCTCGAATTCTCGCACCAGACAGAATTAAAACGCTCCTCTTGCGATCTAGAGAAGTGACCGGAGACGCCTCGGAGGCCGCACTCCTGAAATGCGTCGAGTTCGCCATGGGAAACATCGCCTGCTACCGACAGAAGCACAAGAAGATCTGCGAGATCCCCTTCAACTCGACCAACAAGTACCAGGTGACTCGCTCGGCGCGCGTTCGCAGGCGAACGTCGCGAAGCGCGAGGAATCCGCCTTCCTCGCCGTTCAGCAGACTTCTCTTCCAATTTTATATTATTCTTAATTTCGCATTATTCTTAACTTAATATTTTTCTTAATTTTTAAGGGCATCCTTAATTTAATTATTTTTTTTTCACCTTATGATGATGAGAAACGAGTCCATTCGATGTTTTAATTTAGATTCAAATATTTGCTCGCTCCTTTTAGTATATCCTTTCACCTTCCTCTCTGGAATAATGAAATGTGAGCTGTAAAATTAGCAAGCTCATTCTCGGTTCTGAATTTTGCAACGATATCGCGTTGCTTTTTTTTGCGATCAGGAGCGAAAATGCTTAAATCGAGGAATTTTGGGAATTCAGGTGAGCATCCACGAGGGAAACGACCCGGACGGGCGACCGTCGTACCTGCTGATGATGAAGGGAGCGCCGGAACGCATCGTGGAGCGGTGCTCCACCATCTTCATCAACGGGAAGGAGTTCCCCCTGGACGATCACTGGAAGAGCAACTTCACGGCAGCTTATACGGACCTGGGCGAGCGCGGGGAAAGGGTCCTCGGGTTCTGCGACTTCAGACTCCCGCTGGAGGAATTCCCGCTGGGATTCAAGTTCGACGCGGAGAAGCAGAACTTTCCTCTGAATGGACTGCGATTCGTCGGGCTCATGTCCATGATCGATCCGCCGAGGAGCGCCGTTCCGGATGCGGTGGCCAAGTGTCGGTCGGCGGGGATCAAGGTCATTATGATCACCGGGGATCATCCCATCACGGCCAAGGCCATTGCAAGATCCGTTGGCATCATCTCGGAGGGTATGGAATCGCACTTCATTTTAAAAGACATTTCCTATTATATGTATATATATATTTTTTTTTGTGACTCGTTGCAGGCAGTGAAACAATGGAAGACATCGCGAATCGTCTGAACATGGATGTGAAAGAAGTCGAACCATCCAGCGCGAGGGCAGCCGTGGTGTGCGGCTCCGAACTCAGGGAAATGTCATCCTCCCATCTCGACGACCTCCTAAGGCATCCTCCTCCCTCCCCCACAAACCCCACAAACCCCCACAAATCACGACACACCATACCGTTCTCTCCCCCCAGGAAACACCCGGAAATCGTGTTCGCCCGCACCTCGCCCCAGCAGAAGCTGAAAATCGTCGAGGGCTGCCAGCGTCTGGGCGCCATCGTGGCCGTGACCGGTGACGGAGTCAACGACTCCCCCGCCCTCAAAAAAGCCGACATCGGTCTGTCGTACTCTTTGGGTACAGTCAACTCTTGATATACCGCCACTGTTTGTCTTCGCCGATTTTGGTGCTGTATCGAGGGTGGCGCTATATTGAAAACCAAAACGGAAATTTTCAAATGGACACAATGTAAACTCAAATGTAAAATAGAATTAGCAAAAAATATATCTACTTTAATTCATCCATGCTGCCATTGGAGAACAAAAACTACTCAGCTATGAAAAATAATTAACAACGTTTTGCTGACTTCCGACCGCATGTGCCTCCTAGTAGCGACACACTTCCAATTTTTCCCTCACACTTATAACTGTCCTTTTCTCCATTACTGCATAATGAACACACTTGAACAATCGTCTGGAGGGAACTTCGAACTGAAAGGTGTTTCCATTCTCCAAAAGAAAGAAAAGGAGAGGGAGGATTAGATCAGATTAAGAGACTCCTTACGCCCCCCTCTAATCCCTGGTGTCCGTGCCAAAGCTAAGTCATCCCCCCCAATCTCGTTATCAAACGATCAAAAGGAAAGGTTGACAGCATGTAATTTTTTTCCCACCATGGTAGTGCATGGTATAATCATTGTAGCTGGTACGGTATGCTGCTTTGCGCTATATGGAATGCGACTTACGTTGAATAAGACACGTTTGTGCAAGGCAAGGTATTGGCGGATGGCGGCATGTGAGGGAGGCTATGACCTATCTCAGTGGCTATAACGGGGGAGCGCCATTGATAAGCCTATGGGGAAGATTCCTTCTCAGGAAAGAGTTGGGGCTAAGCGAGAGTGGCGCTATATCGAGGGTTGGCTGTATTTGCATGCTTAGGCTGGATTATCAGAGGAACTCTCGGTGACTTGCGATGGCCGCTCGCTATTTAACGTTGGGTCCTGGATGTCGAGATTTTTGCCCGAATCGACATCCAGAGTATCTAGTCGAGTGAGAATTGAAGGGCTGAAAGGAAAAGTGGTCTACCTGCAAAAACTTCTTTCCTCGAGCTCTACACGGAATGAGTGAATATTCCAATGACCTTGTTAAAAGTGAGAAAAAGTGTGGTGTGTCGATAGAGCACTTCCTCCAAGATTCTGAAGCACAGAAACCAACAACCCTTTTTTCGGAAATTTTTTTGCAGCCCTTCGATTATCGGCAGGTCCAGATTTGAGTTTTTGAACGCAGCACATTTATGTCGTTATTATATATTTCTATATCACCTGAGAGATCTGCACAGGAACGCGTTTTGGGGGTGGCACGGCTCGCAATACAGGGCATGCCGTGTAAGCTGACAGGGTAGCGAAGCGCGCTCGTGGCACGGGAATCCGTGCAAGAACATGACGTCGCGAAATCCGAACTCGTGAAGATGTCCTATACACCGAAAATCCCTTTCTTTTTTTGGATGGGTTTTGTGAATTCGATGTCACATTGGATCGGAGCCGTTTTGAAAATCCTTTTTTCGTCACCATTATTCCTACATTTTTCACTTCAATTCCTAACGATCCCGGTTCGTCCCCACTGCATTTTCCCTTGTTCAGGTGTCTGTCTAAAAGAGTTCTGGTAGTTATGAAGATCCTTATAGCCAATGGATGGATATGCGGATACTTGCATTTTATAACTTATTTCACAATTGAGTATTTGTGAATACTCCTTTGTGGACGGGTTTTTGTAGTGACACAGTGACACATTTCTGTGGAAATCTTAGATGGCTATTTCTTTTTTTTTTTGCATCACCTGAGTGAATATTATTTTTCTCAACTTCAGTATCTCCTGTGCTCTCTTCAGCTTCTGACGAAGGATTTCTACCTCTAAACAATGAGCATTCACGGTCTTCCGGTACGATGATTCAATGTCATTATTTTCATTCTCAAGAGATGAGGAGACCTACTGGTCCCCCATTTGCATTTTCTCGAGTGTCTCATAGCGTTTCGATCATGGTAGGAAGCTAAGGAGAAGTGATGCGAGCAAACAAAAGCATATCTGGGGATAGATTTTCTTCCAAGCGATTGAAGCCATTCATTTTTTCTGCCTAGACATTTTGCAAATTCATGTAATGGAATATTTTATGTCTGCTGATTCCTATAGGTATTCTTACAGAATGCGACAATGCAAACCTTGCCACTGTCCTTCATAGCGACTGCTTCTAAGAGAGTGAATGAAATCAAGGAACCTACGAATAATATCAAAATCAACGAACAGATCTGTAATGTATGTACAATGCTGCCTAGGTGGCTCTGGCAAACGCGAGTAGATTGTATAACGACTGTGAGAGACAAGAGAAAGAGTGTGTGCAACCTGTCTTGGCCTTAACCAGCAAGGTAATGAGTAGTCAAGGCCAAAGCGTCCTTTTTTTTATAGTGGCTCGCTGACGTCATCACATGCGCAAGATTTCACCCTCCTCTCTCCGACCCCCCTTGCATAATTCACTAAGAATCTTTGAATCTTCTTCGCGACTCTGATAATTCGAAACACATCTTGTCCCAAAACACCAGACTCGGACGAAGTCGACGAGTCTCATTTTCAGTTTCGAACGCGGAAGTCTCACACGCGTCGATCACTTCCGCGACTGCTACTCTGTTCGCACAATTTCTTCGATTCCGCCGAGAGCAGTTTAACCGTATTCTTTCGCGCCTACCCACAGTTATCGATTGGTCCTCGTGCTTCCTCAAGCATTTCGAAAGAAATTCCACTCTGTGGTGTTCCCTGCGGGAAGAAGCTTCCTCTGGCTTGGGCTGCTTCGACTTGGGAAGAGCCCGAGAAAGGATTTCGAGATCGGCTCAGGTCGAATCGCCCGAGGCGAAAGAGTCGGCCGTGGCCTCACCACTTGGCTCCTCTTCTTCCTTCTCTATGGAATTTTCTGGGAATCTTTTCTCTTCTGAACAAAGGTATTGACTCACGAGGACCTCCTCTCAAAACTCCATCGTAGGCCTGGACAAGTTGCTGCTCGTCTTTTTCTGGCATTCCCATAGGTACTATGGGGAAATGCCAGATAATGCGGTCGGTTGGTCACTTTTTCTTTCTTTATTTTTTATTTTTATTATTTTTCATTTCGCATGTCCGCAGTAACCATAGCGACCGGACAAAACAACTCAATGCGCACGAGCAGCTTTCCGCCTGGGTCGGGGTGCCCAAAGACCTTATACTAAGAAGACTGGACACTGCGCGAAAGCAGGGTAACCGCAATGGCGGTCTATGCCCTGGTGGTTGGCCCTCGAACTAATGTCAACGCTTCCTGGAGCAGTGCGCTAGTGTCTCTTGAACGAATTCGCGCCCGAAGTATGACGCCATTCCTATTGCGCGTGACTGATTGACATGTCTGGCGGAAAACCATGAAGAGGAGTTGGGAAAACAATGTTCGGAGAATCTCCCCGGTGGGGCTAGGATTCTTGAATTCAGACAGAATTGCAAGACGATGCATGCTGCGTAGGTTACCTATGTAACAAGGAATCAGTTTATTTTTTGTTAATTTACGAACTGCATTATTTTCATGATCTCTGAATCCCAATGGCAATCTCATCTTTTGCCGAGAACATTTTGGCTTAGCTGCCAGCAAGAATGTGTGCGAGTAGAAGCCAGCTGTAACCCAAATGGACCTCGTGAACATCTAATTCAATCTGATATCTAATACTTTAATCGGAAGAGACCGAACATTGTGTCGGCCGTCACTCCTAACGCGCGAGGCCTACGATGCCAAGCCATTCCAAGCCATACAAGGCCTGATGCGCCAGGCCTTCAAGGCTCTACCATTCTGGGCCATAGGCTAGGCTATAAAAATTGAAAGAGGCCGAAAGCGGTAGTGAAAGGCTGTCACCCACCTGCGGCCTAACACGCAAGGCCTATGCCATTCTAGGTCATAAAAATCTTGGTGTACTTTTAATCTATTACTCGGCCGGCGTAGCGGGCGCAGGCCGCTCTAGTACGGCTGTAAATCCAAAGCGAACCTGCAAGCTAATTATCCACAGCCTGTCTTTGTCCCTTCAAAATTGAAGGCATCCCATTCTAACAGACATGTCAATCCGAGAGACGCGAAAATGTTGACCTTTTCGTTAGGGTTATTGAGGTTACACAGCATTTTACTTCATTCGCCTGTTACATATATTGTATGTAAAGCCATGACCATAGGCCTAGTGCAAAGCCCTAGGAACACATGCGCGTGCCTTTCCGGATCCATGGGAAACAGATGCAACAGAACATCTCCATCCATTTGGCCAAATTTCTCCTGGCATGGTGCGTAGGCGCAGTACTTGAATCCAGAGGCAGCCATATTTCACGCGACATTCCAATCCAATGAACCCATTGGTCAGTTTGCGTAGTTCCGGGGCCAAACACCAGGGCAGGAGGTTTCCCCGACATCAAAGGCGCCGCCAAAGAGTGCCCAGTCTTCTTAGTATAAGGTCTTTGGGGGTGCCCGTCTTCCACGAAAACATCCACTTCCCTCCAGCCTTGACGGCTGACGGATCCATAGTATACATGGGGGAAGAGCAGCTGCTCCCGGCCGCGTGGACAGGGTTGCTTGGAAATGCGCATCTGGCATCCTACACACACTCTCCTCCCACCTCCACGCGATGTGGACGCGCAAACCTTCGAGAACATGTCTAGTTGTCCAGGCCTTTTCATCAATAGCGTAGTGCCTATTACACTGTTTTCGGATTGAATTGGTACGATTGATCCAGACGATCCTCTAGATGTCAAGCCTGATGCTCCACATGGTTGTTGGATGGTTCTATTAATACTTCTCCTTCCATCCACAAGGTGTCCTGCCTGTACTTGATGGAAGCGCTCCTAGGGGGGGAGGGGGGTTGGGTACCAATTCAATCCGAAAATAGTGTACCTTTCTTCAACCACTTCCTGCCACAAAATTCAACTTCCTCGTACTCCTCTCTGAGAGCATCAACAGGAACGAAATTTGGCATGCTTCTTCCTCTCAACATAGAATAGCTCCAGCAAATTTGAAGCTCCATCTCTCCAGGGTTGAATTTTTGAAAGATGTGAATTTCATTCCCCCTGGTAGCCACTCCTGAGAGGTTTTCGCTAAAAAAGAGACCAACCATAAGTAAGATATTGACTCGCATATGACGAAAAGTGCCCTTTTCGTTGTTTGCGATGCACCATTTTGTCATAAAAAGTGAAATTAGCTGTCGTTCAATTAGGCTTAGATTGCTGGCTCCGGTACCGTCCTCCAGTGTTGCCAGATATCGTGCCGAAAATATGCCAGATTCAAGACGTATCGGCGTCTGGATCTTGTCAGTGAGAATGAAGTGATGGTTAGCAGTTATTGGTCGATGTGGTGGGATATGCAGATATTTTGCCCGGACACCCCTGAATTACCAGAATGGCGCGGGCATGGATTGCATGCTTACTGGAGGCGCTCCTTCCACCTATTCGAGACAGTTCGAGGTACTCCAGATAGGCCTAACGTTCCACGTCTGCATTGAAATGGTTCGTGAAACGCGAAACAGGCCTCAAATTCATCTAACGTTACATGTCCTCTCTGAAACGGTTCGTGAACGTATGAATAGGCCTGCGATTGGCCTAACGTTGCACGTCCTCAACGAGATGTCTCGAAGACCACGGATTCACCCTCATAGGTCTAACTGGCCCCGTAAGTCAAGAATTGAGTTTTTATTGAAAGCAAAAAGGTAGGCCTTGGCGTGACATGAAGGCAGTCTGTGGGTTAGGCCAAAGTCTAACGTTAGTGAGTTCCGTAAGGAAGGGGGGGGGGGGGGGTTGAAGAAAAGGACAGCCATTGAAAATTGGTTTTCGCATTACTTCGTGTAGGCCTATGCCGAACCAATGACAGCTATTATTTATTTCAAGGTTGGATAGTTAGGATGCGGTAAATATATATTTATATAAGAACCGACGTCATCCGTATGTCTGCCGGTGGCCTGCACGGGTGAACTTTACCGAACCAGACCCGATCGGCCCAATTCGAATCGTGGTCTTACCGGGTCCTACTCGACCCGAAGCTCAATCGCCAGACCGAGCTTTGTGGACCCCATCCGCGGGTCGTGTAGGGCCGAGCGGGCCTGCCCGCAGCCAGCTCAGGCCTCTAAGCTTCAGAACTCGGGGTCTCTGGGTTCGTCCTTTTTCTGAGACTCTGCTGCCTCTGCTGACGCTTCCAGCAATCCCATGACGTCACATTCTTACTGACCTGCTCAGAGTTCTCATAGTTCACTACGTTCCCCAGCCAGCTGCTTGCCCGAGAATGCAAGTCATTTAATGACGTGGTCGCGTCGAGAGTTGACAGAACGAGGTGCCCTTTTTGCCAGCAGCTGTAAGCGACTAGAGAAAAAGATCCCTCTGACTTCGCCTGCGACCAACATGAAACTGGATTGCCAACCGAGCTGCACGCCCGATCCGCGGGTCAGGTCGGTCCAAGAGAGTTGATCCTCAATCCTGCACGGCTCAAAATCATACCCTATCCCAAGTGTTTGAAATTCGAATGCTGCGAGGCGGAACTCGGTGAACATTTACATACATCCAATTGAGGGTTCTCTGATGGCGTAACGCATCCTCTATTATCGGTCCAAAGTATGGCAGTTTGAAATTCGAACATTATCCCTTAAGAATTCTAGGAGACAGAACTCACTGAAAATTGCTATACCGGGAAATTGGGGGTCTCTAAGGATGGGAAGCTTCTCCCCTCTTTCATCTGATACCCTAGAGTTCCAAATTCGTATTTAATGTCTCATTTTAATATTATGTTACGGAATTCCTGAAATTTGGTATAGAGGAAATTTTGGGGAGGGAGGGGATGACGAGATTGGCTCAATATTATTAAGCCAATATTCAAAATTCCAAGGCAGTGTTTCATTAGAACGGTTGGGCCGCCCAGAGGGGGGGGGGGGGGGGGCCAGCGGGGGCAATNCCCCTGGCGGGGGGGGGGGGGGGGGGGGGGGGGGGGGGCCATCGGGGGCAATCTGCTCGGGCCTCGCGTACCAAGGGGCCCCAAATGGCCCTTCAAAGGGCCTCAAGGTGGCCCCCAAGGGGGTTCCGGGTTAGTTTTTCCCTGGGCCCCTAGAAACAGGCCGCCCCTAGGGCGGCCCTGTTGAACGGTATAGGACAGAAGCCGAATAATCTCACTTAGGAAAACGTGAATATTTCACGGGAAGCAGCTCGTATAATATATATATACAGGGTGGCCCAAAAGTAGGTATACAGTATAGTTTATTTGCATTTTATTACATTGTTTATTACATTTACATTTGTTTAACACTGTTTAATCTCGTAAGTACTCGAAATGTCTTCCATCAACGTTTATCTGTAAAGAAAATTAAAATCTGTAAAAAAAAATAACATTCACAATATCTGTAAAGAAAAATAAAATGAAAATAAAAATAACTAAACAACTGTATACCTACTTTTGGGCCACCCTGTATATTATATATAATAATTCTAGTGGTACAGGGGCCAGTGAAGTGCCAGATCTGTATCTGGGCTGGTACTCTAGTTATTCTTTTTTTTGGCCAATCTTTTATTCTATTGGGAAAATATTTATTCATTAAAATTAAATAATGATCGTGGTTCCATGTCCTCTCCGCCCACCCGAGCCCGAATGCTTCTTCCTTGCCTTCAGGAATCGCGATGGGTATCGCCGGCTCGGACGTATCGAAGCAAGCAGCCGACATGATTCTACTGGATGACAATTTCGCCTCCATCGTGACCGGAGTGGAAGAAGGTCGATTGATCTTCGACAACATAAAGAAAACGGTCGCATACACCCTCACGAAAAACATGACGGAGCTTGCGCCGGTCGTGCTCTTCATCGTGGCCGCCATACCGCTGCCTCTTGGGACCATCACCATCCTTTGCATCGACCTTGGCACCGATTTGGTGAGTTTTCGTTGTTTTCGTTCGTCGTATTGCTCTCGACTTAAGCCTCTTGCATATTGTTATGAGTTCTTGATGTTTATGTCGTGTGTTGTTCAGAGTGTCAGTGAGTCAGTAGCATCTGTGGAGTCAAACGGAAAGAACAAGGACCTGAAGGTCCTTTTCATGATAAGCGAATAAATGAAAGGTAAACATGCCAAAAGGTCATGAACAGCCTAAGTATTTGTAGCGTCACCAAGCTTGCTCGATTTCCTTCATAGTTATTCAAGAGCAATATGTAGTTGTGATTGCATTAGTAGCCTTAGAAATCCCTCGAGTTTGAAATGGAGTGTTGCCCAATCCAGCTTCCAGCGGTCGCCCTCGCCTATGAGAAGGCCGAGTCAGACATCATGAAACGCCAGCCCAGGAATCCCTTCACAGAGAAATTAGTGACTCCTTGGTGAGTGCCCGAGGAGGCTCCCATGCCAGGGGTTCGGTTCTTTGTTTTCATGCATGCCAACGTATTTTGGTGAATATGGGGGTCTCCGCATGTGTCTTTTTTCTCACTGAGTATGTGGCCTTGGTTAGAGAGATTTTTTTTAAAGAGAGTTTTGGAGTTGGAGAGAATAAGACCAATTTCAGATGGGAAATTACATTTCGAGAGCAACTAAAGACTAAAAAAAATGGCATATTGGGCTAACTTCAACAGCATTCTTTGGAGGTTTTAACAAAACTAACATTCCACATCACTTGAGCTTTCACGGTAAATCCCGGAGTGTGGGGGGGGGC